GTTATCGTCAGAACTCTGGATAGGCTCTTCACGCGGCAACTGTCGGAACGCAAAGTGCCCACCTCACAATAACGTGTTTGAAGAAAAGTTGCAGCTATCTACCTTATGATGAAGAATTATCATGTCTTACCACTTTCAACATTCGAGCTGCTTTCGGAGCAAATCCACCGAATACATTCTCAGACTTTCCTTGAGCAGTGTGCGATCTGAGAACCGGAGTTTATTGTGCGCATCAACGAACGCATTTCTAACTTAATTTGTCATGCCATTGTCAGAAGGACAAATCTCATACGTATCTGAAAAGCAGACTTCGGTAAGCTGCAGCTCAATATTAGAGAGAGTAAAAAAATAACTATAACGTACCAGCCGCCCATAATGGCGTCAGAAGAATCTAAATGCGTTAAGTTGAAAATCCTGTTTGCTATTATCACAAGTCTAAGGAGCTACTAACATACCAAGCAGGCAATCGTAATAGGTATTTGCATACCTGACAATGAACTGAACGACTATAGTACTGTCATGAACTCCGTTCATGATAATCCTTCTCGTGTTCCGCCCTGCGCCTCTAGGGGTACTTAAGCAGCCCGTAGGCGATAGCGGGGCCTCTGACGGGGAGTGCGACTCTCATGGACGCTCTGCCGGAACGATCGTCTTCTGCGTGATGGGACCGTACATCAATTCGATCCGCCACCTGTTGTTGTCGACATTCCAAGAGCTGGCAGTGGTGAGAACTCTGCTGCCAGCCTCGTGGAGGATAGGGAAAGTCCCTCGCGAGTGGGGGTCCCGTTCGGGAGAGATCTCAAGGTGAAGTCCCTCAATATATCATTAATCAATATATCAAGGGAAGGGACCCTCAATCACTTCAAACCCTAGGCTGTTGAACGTCCGTGTATCTTTTACCGTATGTAGAGTTGAAAGCTCATAATAAATGCAATTTCTCTATGTGTGTCATGTTCGGCTAAATATGAGATTCCTGGAACCACCTTTACCTCACATCTGAGGAGTGATGCCCTCAAAACATGGTGCATCGGCCGGACTTGTCATCATGCTACGCAGTGCCCGAAGATATCGTGAAATGGTGCTTTTTGATAGGAATGCGGATGAAAATGGTAAGCAAATTGCTCAAAAACAGTGCCTTCAAGAACGTGTCTGCAATACGATCTCATTTAACCCATTTAATCAGAAAATTTTGCAGCTTTCAAATTTACAAACGACTTTCAAAGCCCAGGCAATTGACTTTAAGGGTGTGCTCTCAGGGCCCAAATTGTGCACCTGTGCAATACCTCCCATGTGCCCTCTGAAAGTCCGTCGATCTCGCTTCTTCTTCTACGCCTGTATTACACCACTGAATCTTTATTCTATCTCTTCATCGATTCAATTTTCACCTCAGCACAACAGGGGAACCGAGAAGAAAACTCAGGCAAACTCGGAGGCAGACAGATAGTCTGGCCACATGGTAAGGTAATTTGAAGGATATATCTCAAGCCGGCAAAGTAAGTAAAAATTGAAAATCTCACATAATCTAATACATATAATATCGATAATCAAAATGTCGTCGCGCGACTCCCTTTTAATGATTGAGATGGCTCACTCAAAGGAAACCCGGTTGACGACCGACAGTCGTACCAAATTCGAAAGGATCCATAAAAGTGCAAAGAATATTCTACTTCCAGTACGGATAGTCAAACCTTATATGTTACCTTTCGTCAAGCCGACGAGTACTGAATCGGCTACAACTTCTCGTTCACCCAATACATTCCTGAAGGTTATGTTTGCGAGCGAAAAGGTGAAAGCTTTTAAGCTTCTCAAACTTCTCAAGGGAAAAATACTGCAAAAAAAAGAACGCTTAGAAATTGAGTCACCAATGCAGCCAAGATCAAAATCAAATCTTGCTCTCAAAGCATCGAAGGAACGTCTTCGTCAAACCCAAAACAAAAAGATAAAGCTCAAAACTTCTCATAACATTTAGTCATGATCGCTGAGAAACGCATTTTTTCTCATGATAAAATGTTACATCTCATGTTTCCCATAACAAAATGTTACAGCACCCTCAGCACATTCCTATTTAGGTGAAGCAAGATAAAAGGCAGGGATATATAGCCTTAGCCGGTCGAGTCCCCACACATCGTCAGTCTTCAACGACAGCAACGAGCTCGAAGAAGACGTTGACCTATAGGGCGACATCGAGGAACGCTATGGCACAGCAACCATACATCCATAAAAATGCAAAACAGAAGCCGGCTCGACAACTGAACACCTTGAATACTTTACTGCAAGAAGCCACTGAATTTGAGGAACCATGGACGTTTCCCTTCAATGCTCAAGAGCTCGAGATTTTTCTCATTTCAAAAAGCTTAACTGTCAAAAATTTAATGCTCAAACTAGAGCAACGATGGAGCGACATCAGCAATTATTATGCAGAATGTAATCATTCTATCAATGACCTTTTCAGGACGTCAAAGATGACGTTGAAAAGAAATTTGAGAACTACTGGTCTGAGAAAAGAGGGGAAGTGTTGCTTCACCAAGCGGAAGAAGTCAAACGCAAATTAGAGAAAAGGTTAGTGGAACTTCAATGTCAAGAAGCCACTGCAAGACATGAACTCAAAAGGAAAGGCGTGCAAGGGCTATTAGATCAGCCCCAATCCTCATAGCAGAATTTCTCATGTTCTATGGTGAGACGACTTTTAGACACGATTTAAAAGTTCCACATTTTTACGGCAACCCCTTTGAGTTGGACTCCTTTTGGGAATTACTCCAAGAGCTGTTACATAAGCAACCCCACTCCAACATTGAAAAACTGTCAATTCTCATTAATTGCTGCAAAAGAGATGCGGTTATATTGCTTCAAATGATACCAAGAACAGGGATTCCTATGAGGAAGTAATTAGTCAACTAAAAAATCAATATCAGGATTCCAGACGGATCATAATACAAATGATTCGGAAGCTCAAGTCAATGCGACAATGTCAAGATGATCACTGCTCTCTACGGAACAACCTTAGTGACGTGCAAGCTATTATAGCTACATTAGAAAAACAAGGAGAGCAGGTGAATGCCACCAACCCGAGAACCATGGTCCTAGAAACGTTTTCAAAAAAGTTCAAGAGGAAATGGCTAGGAAAGAGTTCGATTCAGGAGCACGGAAAACCTTCTAGATAACTTGTCAATAGCAATCGAACGGAAAGAACATGTATAGGGTATAAAAGACCCTTACCGAGGTGAGCACTCAGTTTTTACACAAGCGCAACAGTACCATCGAGATTGCAGTGCACAGGCTGTGGCCAACAACACAAGTTCCAGCATTCCAACAGGTACTCTAACGTTGAGCAAAAGATAGAGCGTCTCCGCTAACTTAATGCATGTTGGAAGTTTTTCAGTTTAAAACACCGCACAGCATTCTGCCTGAAGCAGAACTGTTTTTACTGCGGCGGTCATCGCAATTACACGATCTGCCGTCAACCTCAGAAACGTGCCATCGAAGGACAACCTAAAATGAATCTACGGAGACATATCCCTCGATATCAGCGTCAAATGAATAGCAAGATTCCTTACGAAACATGGAAGAAGAATCCTCCCGGAAGATATCCCAAGAGTAAAAGTTATTCACCCAATAGACCAGTTCCCAAGAATAAATTTGTCAATCCAGATCGATTCAAGTCACCGAAACGGTTGTCACCAANCTCTCCTTCTCCCTCAAGAATCCCGGAGCGCCAATTCCGTTTCAATCAATCCCACCGCCTAGGAGAAGATCCGTGGAAACCGTCAAAGCGAGCTTTCATGTTCAAAACAATCGAGGATCAGAACCCCTTCCTGACGACTTCGCAACCGCCTTCGCGAGCAACAATAGCGTACGTCTGATGATTGTTCCTGTCTACTTACAATCACTGGACGATAAAGGAAAAACATTCGCCTCAGCGCTTCAGGACTCGGCCTCAAACCAATCCTTTATAACAACATCACTAGCTCGAAGAATTAACCTCGACATTTACAGTGAGTCATCTATTGTAGTCAACACATTTGGAGGGAGAGCGGAAAAAAGAAAATCGAAGAGAATTATCACTTGTTTATATAATACCGAAGGGGATGGCGTTGAAGTTGAATTGTTAACAAGTGATCAAATAACACCCCCTCTTCAAGTGGGTCTCATACCTCATCAGGACGAGGTCTTCGTTAGAGAACATCTTCTAAACGACGAGGCTCAACGTACCCTGCACGGAGTGAGCGGCACAGCTGTCCCTGAAATACTTCTCGGTATGAACTACTTCAACACAATCATGAAGCTTCATAAACCTGTGGATCAATTTCCTTCCGAACTTTTCCTTACACCGACCATGTTCGGACCAATACTCTCAGGAGTAGCACATGATGATCACGAACAAGCTGATAATGATATTGGTAGACGGGGTATGCAGACATGCACGGCGTTCAACTTTAGTCAAAACGAGATGGATATTTCTGAGCTATGGAACCTAGTAGCAGAGGAGTTTTACTCCACGGTAGAAATCAAAGACAACAAAATATTCCTGCGTTTCCCTTGGAAATCGAATAAAAACCGTTTCGCAAGTAACTACAATCTTGCCCTGAGCAGACTCCATCAGCTATTCAAAATGAAGGAACGTAACCCTCAATGCTGGAAGGAATACTGCGCCATAATTGAACAACAACTCGAAAAGAATTTCATTGAAGACGGACCGCGTTCTCAAACACATAGCTCAACCCCGTATTACTATATACCCCATCAAGCAGTTATCAAACTAGATAGAGCAACAACAAAAACTCGTATCGTTCGTTCTGGACGCATCGGCAAAAATGAAAGGAGAATTGAGCCTCAACGACGTTATCCATCACGGGCCTCTCATACTACCTAATCTATGTGGAATACTTCTGAAACCCAGAATAGGGTCTAAAGTGTTGATTGCGGATGTCAAGAAAGCATTCCACATGATACATCTACAAGGAACGGAAAGAGACGCCGCTCGATTTTCATGGCTCAGAAACGTAGATCAACCACCATCACCTCTAATCCTCATAATATTACGCTTCCGTCGACTTCCATTTGGAATAAATGCATCTTCATTCCTGTTAGGCATTTCCACTAAATACGGTATCGAACAACAACCAATACTCGACAAAGAATTTCAAAAACAACTCAATGATAACCTCTACGTGGACAACGTCCTTACAGACGATTTCATTCAATCACTCATCAATAAATATCGAAAGTCCAAAGAGCTATTCAATAACATGTCTATGAATCTACGTCAATTCGTTTCAAATGATGACATTTGCAATAAATCAATCAAACCCGAAGACTTGTCAACCAGTAAATCAGTCAAAATCCTTGGCATCCCATGGAATCGTTAAGAGGATCCGTTCTTAGTCAAATGCAAACTCAAAGCATGTTCACTCCTTATGAAACGTACAGTATTACAAGTAGCACACTCCACATTCGACCCTTTGAGGTTTCTCATCTCCTTACTTTACCTGCAAAACTCTTTCTTCAAGATCTATAGAAGCATAACTACACATGGGACGAGGTTTTGTCCACTCGATCTGGAGCGGGAATGGCAAACAATCCATGGAAATGCAATGGGCTTTAATATGTACAATTGTGGTATTACACACAGCAGTCTGCTTATGGCGAGGCAGCGTCTCGCACCAATCAGTAAGACTGCAAAGATCGTAACAATCCCAAGAATAGAATTATTGGCCCTCCTTATCGGAGTCTGTTTAACAAATTTTGGGATACACGAGATGCACTTGCCCATAAAAGACGTTCATATATTTAGTGATTCACAGGTCGTTCTCAATTGGGTTCAATCAAGCACTAAGCACGGAACCTTCGTCAACAATCGAGGTCAATAAATTAGAACTAAAATCAAAAACTGGTCAAACAGGGAAGTGGCATGCCATCTGTACTACATACCTTCAGAGATGAATCCTGCTGATTGTGCCACAGAAGGTCAAACGAAAGATCAACTCAAAGCACACATGTGGTAGATTGGACCTTTGTTTCTTCTCAATGGAAAATCAACGTGACCAGAATTGCAAGAATTGTCTTGGTTATCACCAGAAGAGAAGGAGGCGCATAGTTCTAGCCTAGAAGACCTGTCCTCTACGGTCCTTAAAGTGAACTCAGAAATTCCTCAATCCCTTTTCCACAGAGCATTCTCATCATTCCCCAAATACAGAAGAATTCTGCCTTTAGTAATAAAGTTCCTCAAAGTTCAAATATTCGATGAGATCTCTATTTCAAACAAAGAGCTACTGAGGAATGCAATACTAGGATTTGATCAGATAGCGACACGCCGACCCCTGGCAACGCTTTAGAAAGCCGATCTTCCCGAAAGCAGAAATAAATTTGATTAAGTTGGCCCAAGCGACACTCTCACAGGAAAAGCTCGTGAAACTCATCAATTTACACTGTACAAGGATGAAAACAGGCTTATTAGATGTCGCGGACTAATATGAGCCTGACACTTAGCAGACGCAGCTCAAGAACCCATCCTACTCCTAGAAACTCATGACTTTACTAATTTAATTGTAAAGACATCCACAATCGTTGTGGGCATCAAGTGAATGGGACTTTGGCTAATTTACGTCTTAGCTAGTGGATCCCCAAAGGACGACAGACAGTCAACAAATATTTGAAATCTTGCTTAATTTGCAAAAGATGGAATACGGAACCTTTCTTCTACCCTAAATCTCCACCGCTGCCACATTGTCGAACGGAGCCATCGCGGCGCTTTTTGCACGTCGGTATCGAGCTCGCCGGTCACTTTCAAGTAGTCAGCGAAGGAAACGGAGAAAGAAAGCGGTGGATCCTGCTTTCCACATGCATGGCCACGAGAGCAGTGCATTTAGAAATCGTCAATAATTTAAGTGCGATGGAACTTCTTGACGGTCTCCGCCGATTTATAGCACGAAGAGGAAAGCCAACACTGATAATATCCGATAATGCAACAAATTTCACTCTAGGACGTGAAATAATAGAAACGTTAACTGATCGATTTGATGTTGCCACGCAATCAGGTAACAGTTTCCTTTCAAACGGAGGGATCCAATGGGAATTCATAACTACACTTTCCCCATGGAAAGGGGGATTCCATGTTCGAATGATAGGAATAATGAAGTCAATTCTAAGAAAAATAACAGGGAGGAAAACAATGCGAGAAAGCGAGTTTATTACGGTTATACCAGAATGCGAAGCTACGGTAAACACACGCCCACTCGCATACTTCGGTAGTACGGTAGACGATTCAGCCATCATTCGCCCCATAGACCTCATAATACCCTACGCAAGTATCAATCTTCTTCCATCTGTGGACAACAACAAATGCAATCAAGAGAACTTACCAATAATTTCAACTCTCGGTACAAGCTATTTAACATTTTCAAACACAATTGGATTATTTATAGAGCTTGTGGAAGTTCTGGACGAACACGTATTTATTAGGATTACGAAATTTCCATCAACTGAGAATCAAGCAAAGATCGCTCACAAGAAAATAGCCCACATATGGGTGAAGTGGTACTCATCATGGATGAGAATTCACCTCGAGGAGAGAGGCCATTAGGGTTAGTCATCAAACTGATTCGAGATCAAGACGGCGCCGTCCGAACCGTCAAATTAAAAACAGCAAAATTTCTTGTTACAAGTTCAACTAACTTCCTCATTCCATTAGGAATAGAAGATGATAGTCGACNCAAAACTCCAAGACGATCGCACGGTCAAGCAAACTCGACCAAGGTTACCACGCCGCGCAAAGGAAAACAAAGACTATCACGTAACAGCCGTTGGAGTACACAACAACCACAGAAGCAGGAATCGATCCCCTACATCCCATCAACACTGGCTCATGCTTGCATTATTGACAAGCCTTTGCGCAACCGTTCAATCAAGAGCGAGCACAAAGAACGAGGAAAGCGCAATACAGTGCACAAAAGGAGGCATAATCATCGAGATGCAACAACAACAAGATAAAATACATGTTTGCGCTAATGATTATTGCTTAGAAATAGACCACCCAGACAAAACTATCAAAGTCCAATTTCCAGCAGAAATCACTCCTCATTCGTGCCACATATTAGTCAAGACGTTACTTTTCAATAATACACAAGCGTTTCATTAAGCTTGCTTTCCAAGCCCATTTTGCGAACATATCACGTGCACATTTTGCACACCGGTGATGCTGGCCAAGGGAAGCAATTGCAGTAGCAGCAGCGTTGTTCTGAGTATCCTCATTACAGTGTGCTTTCTAGTACANAGGTGTTTGGAACAAGGCCAGTTTATTGCAAAGTTCATGCCTATCATTACGACAAGTTCAATGAAGACCATCAGGCGAAGAGATTCCTTCAATAGAAATTAATAGTACTCACAATAGAGAGAAGGAAAACTTCCACATTTATAAGGCTTCTAGCCATAAGTGCCCTTGCTCCGACAACTTATGAGTGCCAACAAGTAATACTCATGCCATCAACCCTCAACCAATGCGATCAGAAGGATCACAAATGCCATAATCACTCAACACTCATTGTCGAATACAACTCCATGCAGTCTGAACCATGCCTGCAAGTCAAGCAGAAGGAGATTCAAACACATCTTATGAAAATTACAGTAGATGAAATAATATTGAGACGTCATAAGGAAATGCTGCACTTTACTCGAAACACAGAAACTCAAGTACAGTCCAGCAAAAGATGTCCACGCAGGGTTTCATGTGTTAGACTTAAATGCGCTGGAATATCGCCAGATACACTTGTAAAGGATCTTGGAGCGAATAACTTCACAGGAATCACCTACTGTACAGAGTCATGCGCAGGATGGAGATGTTCATGCGGATTCCCTTCTTCTGGATGCCTTTTCTACAAGTTTTACCATGTCCCAGTAGATGATTAGATCTACAAAGTTTTTCAGTGCTCCTCATGGTATAAGACCATCATGTTCAAACTATAGCAATCGGACACTCAACAAAACCAAAGAACAATCAGAGGAGAACTCAGACCTTATGAAGGTCGCCGATTTGACAGCGCCATCGAAGTGACCAATCTTAACTTCTCACCAACCTCTATTCAATACAAACACTTCATCAGCAATAACACGACAAAGGCCTACATAGATGACGACGTCACATTTAGTTATGCCTGCACATCCAACCCTTCAAATTTCAATTCCTTGAATCAGTGCAGCATAAAAGACACCTGCAAATGCAATCCGGCTGAAGATTCCATATGGTGCTATTGTACACAGAATAACATACCCCGCGTGTATCATCTCTCACACGTGTGACCGTTGCCCATCCCAAATGGAGTTATAATAACAGGACTCGCAGTCACCAAAAATTCAAACCAAGACCTTCTTCATAGAGCTAGCCATACAACTAGATTCAGCGATCACACAGCTGACAAGAAAAGTATTTGATTTAGATGCGATGTGATCGCAACCGCTTTCAGTGGCTGCTACAACTGCTACAAACGCACGATAGCCGTACCACGCGCAAACGCGCAAGCCTCATGCGGTGATCAACAATTCGTGCTAACATGCACACGTAAAAGGACAGAAAACCAAGTACGGCTGTTTTTCAACAAACCGCGCATAAACGAACAATGTCTCGTGCAATGTGGAGAGCAAATAACGATTTTGGAACTCAAGGGAACCCTCAACCACATCAACGGTATGCAACCGTTTTGGAAATACTTAAAATTATGGGAACAATCAGCAGATTCGGTTCACAGCTCTTTGGCTACAGACTGGGAATTTCCAGATGTAGCCCATTTTATTGACGTTTGCAGAAGCTCCTACCTCTATACCGTAATCGTTCTCATGAGCATTCCCATTGCCGCCTTTATCATTGCTGCATATCTCTGCGCAACCAAAACAACTGCGAAAAGTATAGCTCCGACGAGTTCAACAGTCACATTCTTATTCCCTCCCGTACCCGGAGTGCTTGCTCTTTTTCTATAGCTCCGACGAGTTCAACAGTCACATTCTTATTCCCTCCCGTACCCGGAGTGCTTGCTCTTTTTCATCTTTTTGAGGGAGGTTTTAAAATTCTCTTCCATCTGTCCTTCTGTATTTTCTTCTCCCTACTTGTAAGAAGATTGGTCAGCAATAATTCAACAGTAAATTTACGTTATATTCTTTCCTTTTACTCTGCTTCTTTGCGCAAATTTGTTTTTTCCAAAATATTGGTACGATTTCATCAAAGATTATTCTTATCTCAGTACTATAAAATTGCTCGTACTTCAACTATTACAAAAGGATGATTCAACTTCAACTATTCAACTACGCAACCTTGTCGAGGCTACAACTCCGAGACTTTTCATCAAGATGCGAACTCCAAGTTAGGTGCATCAATTTATTCGATTCAAGGAATATCTTTTAATAACGAAATCACTTAACTACGTCATTTTTCGCCGATTATCTTAATAGGAATTTTGTGAGCGAACTTTTGATTTCAGTTAATAAGCAAGAGGAAAGCGCCAAATTTTACTGAACAAAACGGAAGCAAAAAGCAAATATCTGTTGTCAAAGAGAAATCGATTTGGCAGTTGTTCTTTGTTTCACACCCAGAGCCAGTGTATTTGAACAGCGAAAAAATCTTGTCTAACTAGCACATAAGAGCGGTTTTGGTCCATGGAGGTATCCCCGTTTAGGGCTAAATATTATTGCAATTACCTCAACTGACCTCTCGTTAAGATAAGTGTTACTCCATCTAACTAACTGCATCTAACTTATGAAAAAATCACTAAATAATTGGTCTTAAGACAGTCCTGATTACATCTGGATGGTCATATGAGTGAGACCCAAGTTATCCATTCATCTACTCTTTAACGGTGGTGATTTCGAAGAATATCCCTTATCAGCCATCTGTCTTAACAGAGATTAAATGACAAATGAAGGAAGGAAGATGTTTGTTGGCAGACGCAATGAGTTCTGCAGCTTGAGAAATGATACAATTTTGAATGTAGCATAACTATTACCATAAAATTGTTTATGATACGGGTTAAAAAAGGAGAAATCAAAAACAAGCTCGGTGGAAATGCTCAGCCAACAGCTAAGATGTTGAAAATGATATCATTGGTAAGCCTTACAAGAGTCTAGCATGAAATACTCAAGTGGGATGTGCCATTTCATCCAGCAATAGCTTGTGTAAACATAATAGATTCGACGAAAGACTTTCAATTCGCGCACAGTTTTCTTCAAGTCAGACACTATTTCAGGTAGAAATTGTGCATGGCGACGGCCCGCAAAGTTATCATGACAAAGACTGCAGAAGATGTAAGAGAATCAGGTCTGAAGGAGAGGGCNTGACAGGGACGAATGGAGACGTAACTGGCGCCCGCTCGAGGAAATCGACAATCAACGGGACGACAGGTGATACAGGTGATTTCAAGTTCGACTGCTAAACGCCGAAAGAGAGCTAAAGAGACTTGCAGCCCTCCACGAAAATTACCGCCAAGTGGAGCATATCAAATTTTGACGCTGCAGGTCGATATGAATACCTAAATCGTTAACTCCTTACTCTCTTCATACTTGCCTAAGGAGTGCTCGTCGGGATCATAAAAGCCGAGAGCGGCCGTAGGACAGTATTTCTATTGCGATCCCACAAGCTTATCGACATCGAACTATTCAAATACTGCCTTTTCAAAAAGCCATAGGAACAGCATCAACGAGTCTTGCAAGCCCGAATCGATTATCACCTGGATACGGCGGCGAACAAAAGCGACAAGTGTCGTCAGATAAACAGAATGCTCAAAATGGATTCGAAAGATCATCACCAACAAAAGCAACACAGCCAGCTGAGTTCAAGTCGGCTTTCCAAAGCTGCGATACGATTTTGGGAATAATGTTACTAAACCATTGTTTCCTGTCTTCTATTATACCTCGGGTCCTGGTAGCTAACATTAATCGAACTGTGGAACGGTTGCGTAATTGACAGCGTCATGAACTCAGAGGCATGACATGGAGATTCGCATCCTTAATGCATACGCTCATTTCATGTTCCGTGGTCCCCCGGGAAAATCAAAATGTAGAAAATTTCTATTTTTTGCAGAAGTACACTTATTCGAACCTCACAAATGTCATGTCATTACACCACTCAACTGCACAACCGACGTTTTTGCTCCAATGCCCGACCACCAAAAATAATGCATGCATTCTTCTATTTGATATCGCTACTTGTAAATTGGACTTTGATCGACTTTCCCTTAATCTCGGAATAGATAGACTTGTTTATTGCCTGTTCTGAGCATACACAGCATCCGAGATTCAAAACTTTACCCAGCTTAGTTTCGGCCTCTTCGCCTTATTCAGAGCCCCGAAGCTGAAGACGAACTGAGATTAATCCTCACGCGGGTCTAGACAGTAATGAAAACAGTTCTCAAACGAGAAAACCCCAATGGACACAACTAATACAAGGGTGCTACATGATTTAAATTAATGTTAGAGTCGAACCACAAGGACGAGCCCTCAAGAATCAAACATATGCGTACAATAAGCAACCCATTTCCTTTCCAACCTCACCGTAATTCAAATGCTGAGGTCGAGAATCAAACAATCAAATCAAAACAAATATAGATCAAACGAAAACAGATTCATCATAGAAGTTTTCATCTGTGGCGTTGGTCACTAGATTTGACTGGTGTAGAGATCCACAAATAGCAATATCAGCCAGAAGAACGTATTCATTATTTTTGATGGTCGGGCATTGGAGCAAAAAAGTCGGCTGTGCAGTTGAATGGTGCAACGACATGAAATCGAATAGGTGTACTTCTGCAATGATAAAAAAATTTTCTACACTACGATTTTCCTGGGGAACCACGGCACATGGGACGAGCACGTGCATTAAGGATGCGAATCCCCATGTCGCGCCCCTGAATTCATAACGCTGTCAATTACGCGACCGTTCCACAGTTTGATGATGTTATCTATTAAGATCCGAGGTAAAATACAGGAAAAACGATTTTGTGACATTATTCTCAAAGTCGTATTGCAGCTTTGAAATGCCGATCTGAAATAAGTCTCTGAGAACACCTACAGCGGTTAGATGTCTTAGAAACCTAGTCTGTTTGTTTTGTTAGTAGAGTTGATTTAGAAAAAAAGTATAGTCTTGAATGTCGGTATGAAAACCGGACCCTACCAACGTTACCAATCTTAGTGCAGCTTTCTGGGTGTAATAAAGATGAATGTAAAAACAGCAAACAAATCGAATAAACTCAGTACAGAGTAAGGCGAAGTACGCTTAGCTACTTCAGCTACTTACAATTACGATTTTCTCTTAAGATGAAATCGTAATAATTGGGATTCCTCCTCTATTTTTTCCTGTGTACAAAAAATAAGGTGTTCTGTCGATATCTTTATTTATTTATTTATTTATTTATTTAAAATACACTCTTTAGAGTGTGCCCGAGTAAGGCAGAAAGCGGAAAGCAACACAACTAGGCAAGGAGAAAACCAGCGCCTTACATATTGGAAACTAAAGAAAAAAAAACATAAATAGAAAACAGAAACAGAACAACACAGGAAAGTCCAAGTCAAATCGTAGGCAGAATGTAGCACCGAATAGATGGTTAATGGTTAGTGATCCACACATTACTCACGATAATGTACCAGATAAGGCAGATCTTCAAGCAAATCCTCGGTCACAGGTGGTAGATACTCTTCAAGCTCAAAGGTTACCTGGCACGGTCTGTTCAGATGAGACGGAAGAAAGCACAGCACACACTTGTCCCCTGATAGTGACAAGAGATCAGTGAAGTGGTGGATGGCGCTAGGGATAACGCCACTCAACAAGAGCACAAGGGCATGCAAGTCGAACCCCGAGATCAGATTTTCGGATGTTAGGTATTTCCTACCCCTAACAATCTGATCAAGGGCCCACCGGAATGAAATAACGGGGATGTAGTGGGTGAGTGCAAATCACAGTGAGTGTAGAAAAGAAAAGAAAAAAAAATTCAGTCAGCCAGCCAACCTATAGAGCCAGAAGGCATCAGACCCACTCAGTGACATTAGGAAGAGAGGAAGGTAGCGAAAGAAATAGAAAGCACTACATCCTAAATACGTATAGAAACATAAGAACGACATCACGTCAAGCGCCAAACACAAAGAGACTAAAAACTGAAGCCTGTAGAAGAACACTGTGGAGTAACCCATATCCGATGTAACAAGACTTGTTATTGCACAAGAAGTAGGTAACGTTGACGGCCATGACACAGTGATGACGGTCACAAACGTCGACAAAAGCAAAGAAGCAAGCAAAAACGCAACACTGCAATAAAGTAAGACTTTAACGGGCATCAACAAGACCTAAGACTTGAAGCAAATCGATTTTTTTCAACCTACTCCTGAATACCTGACTGTTCTGGGCACTCATAACCTCACCGGGTAGTCGTTGAAACCATCGCGCCACACGATAAAAGAAGAAGTCGAATAAACGACCAGAAATCCTGTTTGGGGTCTTCTGATAGTGCAAGCTAAAACCGCTAGATCTTTCACTGCAGGGTCTAAATATCCAGTATTTACTTGGTGCCAACTTTAATTCTCTACGAAGTAACTGAAATCCAAGAAGGAGATCAGAAAACGTTCTTCTATACAGCAAAGTTTTCAACCGGAGCCTTCGCAACCTCTCTTCATAACAAGGTAAATTGCGCCCACGAAAGATGTTATTCATACGAAGGAAAACTAGTCTGGTAAACGTGTGTTGAACACGTTCTAGCCCCTGAATATCCTTTCTCCGAGTGGGGTTCCAAACCTGGGAAGCATATTCCAGGTGAGGCAATACATAGGATTTATAAAGCCGTACAAGGATATGAGCCTTATTACTGCGGACGTTTCTGAAAATGATGAAGAGTGAAGCATAGGCTTTACTAGTTACATGCTCCACATGGGAAGAGAAATTCAGACTATTCCATGACATTCAAATTGACAAATTCAGACACTGTCGATTATGACACCAAGGTCCCTCACAGTGTCACATTTCGTCAACGTGACACCATTCATGCAGTAATCAGTAAGGGCTATCTTACCCATGTGAAGTACAAAACATTTCTTCAGGTTAAGAGACAAGTCAAGGTCAGAGGCCCACGTTATCAGCCTTTCCAAAGATTCCAGGAGATTACTGCGAACTACCTCACAATTCTCTTCATCGTAAAACCCGTACAACTTGATGTCGTCAGCATAAATTTGCGCTCTCGTATTCCCAGAGATACTGAGGATCCTAGCCAAGTCCAAAGTATAGATCAGGAGAGGGGGGAAAGCACCCCGCCCTGCGGTACTCCACTGGAACAATGGAAACGGTGGGAAAAACCATTACCTACTTTCACTGTCGAATGCCGGTCCGTCAAATATGACGACATCCAGTTCAATAAACTACCGCTTATACCGAGGGTTTCGAGTTTACAAATCAGTTTACAATGATTGACTCTGTCAAATGCTTTGGTCAGATCAACATAAATAACATCGATGGATTTACCTTGATTGAGTGCAAGATGCCAGTCAAATAGACTATCGACAAGATTAGTGGTTGTGCTCGCACCATTAAGAAAACCATGTTGTACTGAAGGTACCAGTTTGAACTTGTCACACCAGGACAACAACTTCGCTCTTACAATTTTCTCCATAATTTTGATCACCGTCGATGTAATACTTATAGGACGAAATTCAGAGACCAAATGAGCGCCAGAGGCTTTTGGAATGGCATTGACTAACGCTTCTTTCCAAACTCCAGGTACTTCACCCAACGCAAAGGAGACATTGAAGATGTGTGCTAGTGGCTTAGCGAGTGATGAGGCACATCGTTTACAAACCACAGGAGGAATACCGTCGTAAGGTTCAGTGGTAGAGGGCTTTAGGCATCTCAGTAGTTTGTAAATGTCGGAGGGGTGAAAGTAGATGCTGTCACAGGTATAATGAGGAGCAAACTCCGACATAGTACGCACCCCTACAGTATCACTCGAGCTTGAGAAAACGCTTGCAAAGAAAGCACCGAGCGCGATTGCCTTGCCTTCATCAGTAAAATGTTTGCATCCATTGACATCAACTACAACAGGTAGGCGGGGGTCACCTTTCATTTTGTTTCTTATATAACCATAAAGATGTTTTGAGGAAGACTGTGAAGCCAGACGACGCTCATAGTGGTCCCAGAATTTCTTGAGATGACAGTTGATATCACGACAGACTTTCTTGTAGCGAACATCAATCAATGGATTGGCAGCGTTATCGAAAATACGCTGCTTTTGCGAAAGTAAGTTGCGTATATGAGCAGGAAATCTGGGACCAGATGGGCCACGATATTTAAAAGGGACATGAGAGGCCAGCTTATCATAGATTACTAAGCAAAACCGGCGATACAAATCGGACGCAGAGGCATATCCATCGAAAATTTGTAACCAGTCAACCTTACTGAAGCTACGATTCAACGCGTTGAAGTCAGTTCCGAAAAAGTTGGGTCTGGGTAAGCATGTGGATGTTCGTGAAAAAACTACGTCCACTAGGAATGAAACAGCTGAGTGATCAGACGTCCCCAAAGGAGGATTAATTGCCACATTGCTTACTACAGGGGAGGAAGAGAAAATCAGATCAAGAATGTTACCTACATGGGTAGGGTGTCGTACCATCTGGCTGAAGCCGGAGTGGGTGAAAAATGTGAGAAAGTCATTAGCAGTAGCATTGTAGGCAGTGGAATTATCCCAATCAATTTTGAGGTTGAAATCACCCAATACGACAGTATTCTCTCTGGAAAGGGCGAGGGTAGTCAATATTTCAATAAGATCGTCATCATTTTCTTTAACTGAGTTCGGGGGACGATAAACCAGCACAAATCTTATGCAAAACATCGAGGTGGGACATACTAATTCAATGCATAGTAAATCTGCTTTCTAACAAAAATCATTAGCAATAACGTGCACGAAAAGATTGCTTCTAAAAATGCAGCAAACTCCTCCACCCTTGGCTTTAATTCGATCCGCCCTGTATAAATGATATGGCAAATTGCCCAAAATTTCGGAGTCTGCAATTTTAGAATTGAGCCATGTCTCTGTTAGAAATATCACATCGGGTTTCCTTTCAGCAATTAGCAACTGAAGATTCATTGTTTTATTTACTAGGCTGCGACAATTTATCAATAAGCAAAACAATGAGGCACGCTGACCTTGCGGAGCTACGCGTTTACCTGTTTATTGCTGGGTGCGTTCGACTGACTCCTATTCGTCAACTCAGAAATATGTTTAAGCTCACCACGATAGACAATCCATTCTCTGGTACTCTTACCTAGGTTCCTACTCTTAGCCAACTGTCTTAGTTCAAAATCTTTTTTCCTTTCCTCAAAAGTCATGCTTCTTCTAACATATACGTCAGGAAAGCTGGAATGTCGAAGATTTCGCGAGTGGGCTAACGTCCTCCGCCAATGAAACGAAGTAGGAAGTACTACCTTAACTAGTCGAGGTTTAGAGGGGTCAGCTTTACCCATACGAAAAATATCACATGGTCTACACTCTACGTCTAAGGTATCTAAGACATCAAAAACTTTCCTCTCGAGTTCGTGCTGGCGAGCGGATGGCGATAAGCTTGCTTCATTTTCCTTTAACCCGGCTACCACGACGCTACGGGAACGCTTTTCCTCTTCCATGAAATACGCGCATTCTTTAGGTATCTTTTCGCTGAGCGCAGCGAGCATTCTAGCAATTATAGGATCTTTATTGATTTCGATGATGCGCAATACGAGAGCATTTGCGGTCAATTTGTTGAAGTCGCATTCAGAAGTGACACCATTAGCGCTTACATTGAGATTTGGCATAGATAAAGATCCAGCAGCTAAATCATTGGTTCCTTTAGGATTAGATTCAGCAACTGAATCGTGATAAACTTTGTTACTTCTGGTGCGAACCATGACTGATCTGCTGTGAAGGCAATATATGGACAATCAATACACAAATGTGAGACACGACCAAAGCCACAAAATAGCACCTGAAAAATAGCACCGCAAAAAGCAAAAACGGGACTGATTCCGATAAGAAAGACACGAATGAAGAAAAACAAGACAATGAAGAAGTAAAATTTGGTAAACTTCAAGACAAAAACAAGATTGTATTAAGGGAAACGAGGAGAGCTCAGAAACACAGCCGCTCACCGCGCACGCGCCACCGTGATATCTTTACGTGATTAGGCCCGTGTTTATGCGAGGAGTAGCATCGTGGGTAGCTTAGGTATGATCCTCTAACATGCGAAAGCCAGACATTTACGATGCAAAGCCATGATGCTGTTGCGTAAACCTTTTGCGAAATTTTCAAATAATGGGTATAAGCGCGAGTGTGATTGCCCCGTTCTAATGATTTAAACAAAACATCATCCGTTGCTGAACAATCCCTAATACAACACCTTGTGGTAAACTAGAAGAGAAAGTTAAGGGTGGAGCGCTCTCAGAAGGGGCGATACCTGCCAGATAAAATCACGATTCAATTTCCTAACGATTTTTCTGGAACATTCTGTGATCTGGCAAAAAAGATGACAGGCTGCGAGTTGAAGAGTGATCAAGTCTTCAAAATGGGCGGGACGCACGCAAAGCTGAGCGGAGCTCAAACTAAGAATTTTTAGCTCCATTGAAATTATCTTTGTTGTCAGCTTCATGTCAGCATACTTCAGTTCTATTATTGAAAATTTATTGCTAGTATTTATGGAGCAACGCAAAGCGCCTCATCTCTGCTACAGGTGCAGCCGGGGCACTGACAGTCGGCGTCTTTCGTACAGGGATCTCCTACGTCGTAGATTGTCTCGCCAGGCAGGTCTCCTCCGAAAAGAAAGAGAAGCTGTACCGAGCTAAGGTCACTAATGTGTAATATTCTGAATGTTCTTACCCAGGATTGTATTCACACACCACAACCGTCCATGAGCCCCAACAAGGTACAACTACACAACCAATTCTGTCGCTCGATTGCCACGCTAACTAGAGCAACAACACTGACAAATTGTCTTGCTGGTGGAAGAGTTGTTCTCACCTGACTGTATTTACTTAAAGTCGTGTAAATGTTCATCGTGAAGACGTTATTCTCAGGTACACCATATTTCTGTAAATCACCGAACCAGGCTGCGACGGCCTGAAATGACAATGATATGGTTTTCCTAGAAAGATGCATTTGGCCACGATATATTAACCTCTGCTGCAGCCTCTGTCTTGTTATTAATCTTGGACGACATCATGTGCATGTTATTCCCCCATCGCTTTAACATCGCAGCAGTGTTGAGTCCAAATGTGCAAGTCTTGGACCATTCCATTGCATTTGCTTCAACATCGCAATCGTAGTTCTATAACAAGTGGCTTGAAAATAAGTAATGACCTTCTTTGCTCATTCTAACACCAGCTGATGGAAAATCAGAGAAAGATTGAATATTGAGTCTTAGAGGTGCTACTGTATAGAGGGATGAAGTAATACTAGAGCATACCACTTTCATCATTCTGGCAGCCTTTGGAGCGAATTGTCCAGATTTACCCTGAGCTTGCCCTTTAGCAATGAGCGACCTAGACGGTCTCTAATCATCATACGATTCTCACAGCTTATTTGCTCTTCGAAAATTACCGGTATTCATTATGTTTGTCGACAAACATCTTCCTAGCTCCGTCAGTCATTCCATTGTTAAGTTCAGGGCACGATCCAGCTAGAAGATTGTCGTGTTGTTAATAAAACCCAGAGCAGGAGCCATCTGTCTAGACAGTTCCCAATTATCATACGATTCTCACAGCTTATTTGCTCATCGAAAATTGCCGGTATTCATTATGTTTGTCGACAAACATCTTCCTGGCTTCGTCAGTCATTCCATTGTTAAGTTCAGGGCACGATCCAGCTAGAAGATTGTCGTGTTGTTAATAAAACCCAGAGCAGGAGCCATCTGTGAAACGAGCGAACCAATAATTTACCATTAGGAACCCCAACAGTTGTTGTTGTAGTTGGCTTCGGTGTTGTAGTCGAAGTGGTAGTAGGTGGAAGGGGAGTGTATTCTGGCGGGATGCAAAGGGCCTCTTCTTGGCTAAAACGCAATCAGCGCATTTGCAGTCGGCGTCAGTTGTGCATGGCTCTCCCATCTCGTAGACCACCCAATACGGATTATCACCTCTGTAATTCGAATTTCGGAAAAAAGATGGAATGAAAGATAATAGCTACTGAAGCTTATTGGCTCACGAAGGTTTATAGTTGCATCCTGCCATTGTCCATGGCCACGGCTGGTTTTTTGTGCAATATGAAATCGCGCAACCAATTTTGTACGTCCACAGACCACCTGCAATGACAGACTTTAGTACAAACTCATTCCGCAGCA